CACCCCCCTTTCGTTGGCAGGAGAGGAGCATCCCGCAGCACCGGGCCCCCAAAACCTGGGGACGGGGAGGCGGCGGGATGAGGACCAGCCGGAACCTAGCCCCGAAACCGGTTATGCACCAAAAATCTCACCTCAAATCCAAGTCTACATTGAATTTCGTGGTGCAATGAGTAAAAAGGGGCAGAGATTACACCTTTTGGGGGTTGTTTTTTGTTTGTTGGTGTTGGGGTTTTTTTAAGCATCTCTTGGTTTTGGTTTGTTTTTGTTTTTTTTTTTATTTTTTGGTGAGAGGGATCAAGGACATCTTTGTGTCAAGAAATCACAGGCAGCGGCTCAGCTCAGTGACAGCCCAGCTCTGGGGCAGGGAGGACCGCTTTTAGTTGTTTGTGGGGCTGGGGGCTTTCTGATGGTGCAGCCCTAACCTTACGCTCCATCACTCCCTCCCAGTCCGGACCATCAAGTGATGGAGCAGAGGACCTTTTTCTCAGTTTCTCACGCTCCCGAGTCACGGCATTGGGTGAGCGCCTGTGGGTCATGGAGGTTTTGGGAAGTCAGGGTGGAGATGTGAGCTGACAACGAACTGGCTGAATGAGCTCATTTATGCGAGGAGCGGGTTCTGACCACACTGCTGAGAATATAGATAAATGCATATATTATATTACTGAGAACAAGCCCAATGCGCATGGGAAAGCAGGTGCATTTTTCCTCTTGGTGCTTAAATATATAACCATAGTTAATTGCACAGCTGGCAAAGATGTTTTGGCTATGATATCCTGCCTTAAATATCATGCATGTGGAGAAGCACAGAAAGTGCTGGTACCCAGAGCTGCAGGGACCACGGCACCAGGAAGAGAACACCCTGTTTCCGCACAATCCCCCATCTCTGTGAGGTGTTTTACCGGGGGGAAAATGACACTTGGGCCCACTGTGACGACACAAAAGTTCCCAGCGCCGGTGGCTGCCAGGCTGGGCGCGGGGGCCCAGAAGGGGCATCGTGCTCCAGGGGTTCCTGTTGCAGCCGGCGACCGGAAAATGTGTAATAAAACAATGAAACCGCCTGCAGATTACATCGACCCCCTCCACCTCCCAGGAGGGACAGGAAACTTTTAAATGCTCTTTTACTGTAAAGGAGGAAACTCCTCTGCAGTGAGCAGGACTTTTGCCCACATTGTACTGCTGGGACTAGTCCTTCCATGGAAAACCTTTGGGTGGGGAGACGCGGGGATGAATAGCAACTGTGTTGGCTGCAGGGGAACATTTTGTGGTGGCTGGTGCCATGAAAGCCTCCTTGTTGGCAGGTGAGGGTGCCCTGGGAAGCATCGCTCCAGCAGCTTGGGGGCACCTCTCCTGCCTGGTGTGATTTCCTAGGGGATCCCGCCCCCCGGTGCCTGTAAAAGATGAGTTTTTCTAAGCCAGAATACTCCCCGTGGCTGGAAGGATGACCAGCAGTAACAGTTTTAAACCCTCTCCTGGTGCTGCCCTCCGTGCCGAGCTAACCAGCCGTTACCCTCCCTTCCTCCTTCCTTCCAAAACTCACAGAGCCAAGAGATTTGAGATGACAGACTCTTCACCAAGGCGGAATTATTTCAACTGAATTGCCTAAGAAGCAAAATCAACCTGCCTTCACTTCAAGTGAAGCTGTCCGGATGGTTAATTTTAAAACAAAATGCAGGTCACTCCCCCTGAGATAGCATCAAATGGTATTTCAATAGGTCAAAAAAAAACCCTAACCTCAACACCCACAGCCTGCAATAATAAAAATTGGCTTTGCCGGGTGAAATCTGAAGCCTGCCCTTATCAGTTTATTGGAAACGCACGACAAGCTGGCACATGGATGTGTTTTTTTGGATGCCAAGTGTCCAGGCACTTGGGTCTGCGCCCTATTGCCTTACAGCCGTGTAAACCCGGGCGTGCAAGCGTGCGCTTTCCCAGGCCTGCCTGGTGTGAATGGCGTGTACCAGGGACTCTCTGCACACTCGTGCTCGCCCTGGCAGCTTTCCCTCCAACAGCAACCTGCAATCGCCGCCAGCTCAATAGTTGTAAACCCGAGCCTCACCCTGCCCTGCCAGGTCTTCCAGCAAAAGGCAGCTGGTGATTGCTTTTTTTTTTTTTTTCTTTTTTTCTGGCTGCAGCAAAAAAATCCACCTTGAAATGTGGCCAATAGAGGTAAAAACGGCCAACAAAAATGCCGCCTTCTCTGATCAAAATTAAAATCCAAAGTGCTGGGCAGAAAAGACTGTGTTGTTTGGTTTTTTTTTTTTCCCTTTAGGCTGTTTTCTTTTTAAAATCTTTTAAAATCTTTTCCTAGAAAAAGAAATGTACTTTCGACACAGAACAGGTGAAACATTCCAAGTTGAAAAAGTCTGAAAAATATACTTTAAAATGGCACCCAGCTGTTACCCCACGGTGTAAAGGGCGTTTCCAGCCCGTGCCGGGCTCCGTGGCGTGGGTGGTGAAGTTTGCACCAGGGATGCTGATCTGGATGAGCTGCATATAGATGTACCCAGCGGGAACATATACATAGGCAATAACATGAGACTGTGTCGAATTAGCCCCATTTCCATACCTCAGTGTTGATGTAAACACTCCTCATGATGAGGAACGTATTGTTTCCTTCAGTTAATGGTCCCCATGGCTGATTATCTCGTTATTACCAATTTACATCTGGTTTCTAATCTGATTAGATGCAGGGACACGCCAAGGGCTTTGCAGGGCTAAAGCCGCCCCGGGAAGGCTCCGCTCTGCCTGGCTGGACCCTGCAGGCTGCCCGGGCTGAAAATTTGGGGGTTGCTTTGCCATTACAAAGTGCAACCACTTTGTCGGCATCCAGGAGCTGCTTTCTCAGCTAAAAATAGGCTAATCCCTTCAGTAAGAGCTGAATGAACATAAAAATGACACTGCCGAATGTGCATTTTTCTCCGTTCTTAGCCTTCCAAGCTTGAATATAAAACCTGAATATAAAATCTAAAGGCGTTGCAGCCTTTAGATACTTTCCCCTCTGGTTTTAGTCATGCAGAAGCCAAAACCCTTTGCATACCAAAACCTCTGCTGGAATATTGTGCAGTCGGGAAGGAGGAGCGGGGAAATTGAGCTCAAAGGCCTGACCCCGCTTGTCCAACTTTAATTTCAGCATTATGAAATTAGCGGTTGCATCTGTTCATGAAATAAGTGTGATCTCCTAAGAGGGAGATCCTCTTAGGAGAAGAAGGACCCCTCTTCATCTCAGAGGGGTGGCAGTTGCCTCTGAGCACGTGGCCCTCTGAGGGCCCATTGCACCCGAACGCAATAACAGCATCGCAGCAGGCGGCAGCGATTGCTATCAGGGCTTGTGGGTAACAGTTGTCCAACTTTTCTTCGTGCATCTTTCTGATCAGAAAGAAAAATATGTCTAAAACACCCTACTGTCAAAGGAATTTCAATTAAATTTCAATTCAAAACATTTCAATTCATTTCACAATTTCAATATAAAAATAAGTCACAAAATGAGATAATGTCGTTACCACTGGAGCAGAATAGTCAAGCACATGAAGGAAGAGAGATCTAAAATATGTTAAGTCATATTATAGGATGGTTGGGTTTTGCTGCTTCCAGTTTTGTGCAGGAGCGGCCATCGCACTGCATATCCCACCCTTCCCCCTGGGCAAATACGCGTCTTCTTCAATTACTGCTTTGAAAAAGAGTTGACAGAAAATGAGTTGAAACCAAGGAAATGCAAATACGGGTTCTGGGCTTCTGCTTGTGCAGCGGTACAGAGTAACACAGGGCTCCTCCTGAACATCTCGGGCTCTTACAGAGAAGATGGGAGATGTTTCACGGCCGTGCTGTGAGAACCAGCAGCTCAAGGCAAAGAGCAGCATCAGAAAAAAACAAGTTTTTCCCCAACCTCAAAGCTCCCATAGTGGGACCGTCGCCACTGCCCTTTGAAGCCAGGGGAGAGGCTTCATCCCTCCCCCAGGCATTTGCAAACTGGCGTTTTAAGTGGTATTATTGTTACATTTTTCCCGGAAAGCTTTCTCCTACAATTAGCTAAATGAAAAGCAAGTGCTCATCCTGGAGAGAAGTACTCCAAAAACTGACCTGACAGCTGGGTGTCCCTTTGCCAATGCCGTCCATGGCTGAGGATGCCCTGACTCCCGTGATGCCCGGCTCCGGCTGCTGTGCCGGAGAGACTCGGGGTACCGAAGAGCAAGGAGGGGAGGATGTGCCTGGTATCAGGTCAGGTCCAGATGTCTCCGGATATGTCTGTGTGTGGCAAGGGGGAGCCTTCCTTGAGGGGTTTAATGGGAACAGGTGAATGAAATCATCCCACAACATCGTGGTTGCTGTCTGTGTCTGAATATTATTTTTTTTTTGCGTGTGCTTTCCTCTCACAAAGTAATAGAAATGAAAAAAAAAAAAAATTAGGAATTTGCACCAGGCTGTGCCCTGAAGGCTGTTACGGCTGTCTTTCTCACCCTCCAAAAATGTTTGCTGAAAAATTCAGCCCGGCTCCGTTGCCAGAGGACAGGACGTTCGTTACACAACGCGTTAGGGGTATTTTGCTCTCCTGCGGCACGCGGCCATTCCTACAAATTGTCTTTGTAAAAAAAAAAAAACCAACCAAACAACAAACCCAACAAAAAAATAAAACAATGTTTCACAGAAACGACAATAGGGTTCGTGGAGATGCGGCCAGTTTCTGCAGGGCTGGGGCTTTCCTGGCAGAGCACACATATCCTTTGTTACGGAAAGCAGACATCAGCGGTGACACCACACCTTTGGTGGGGCTGAGCGAGCTGTACCCACACGGGGAACAGCCCGGGCCTTTTGGGAGCCCCAACCTCGCCCAGGGCAGAGCCGACCTGTGGCCGGTGGGGTACTGCCTCTCTCCTGCCTTCTCCTTCATAATGCAGACAAAAGCAAACATCTTGCTTGTCCAGGCTCTTGCGTTGTCATAAAAATCCTTCGTTTCCAGCCACCGTGTCAGAAAACCAGGGCTTTTTCGAAGTAAGCAAGAGCTCCCCCGTGCATGAAAACCTCCCGCTCCGTGAGATCCCCCCCAACCCTTGCTGGCCTATTTGCTGCAAATATTCTGATAGTTTATTTTCTGGCCTTGTGGGCCTGGTTACACCCCCAGGCAGGGATCCACTTGGTTGCAGAGCCAGATCCAAGTCCCCCAAATGATGCTGTGCAGAGTAACATGTCTTATGCAGAGACAGGGAAGGAAGCGTCATCAGGGTCCTGAAAAACCTGCTTAATTTCCCAGGTACAGAGAATAAAGTGGATTCTTGGCACCGCATTTTAGTACCCCCACAGACGGGATGA